GTAAGCAATGCATAATTTCTTAGACTCTAAATTATTATTGGTTGTGTACCTGACATTAAAATCTAAGTGGGTACTCCGTACCTGGCAACCTTACTTGGCAGGCCCGGATGGAGGCTTTGGCTGGCCCTCTGGCTGCAGAGGGGAAGTGCAGTGGATGATGCCCATGGGCGCCTGGGGAGGGGTCTCTTTGCACAGCACAGACATGCTTTCCTCCCTGCCAGGAGCCTGGCTTGAGCTCAGGATAGGATGCTGGTAAGGAACTGGAAGGGGACCCTCAGCGGAGCACTGCAGAGCCCACCAAGCACAGCGAAGCATGAGTGATTCCCCAAGGTGACCCTCCCAGCTCAGTGGCTCGCGGTCTGGGCTCTGGTGTCAATGCAGACGCTCCTCCTGGCTGCATGGCTGGACAGCTAGGTGAACCTCACCTCCCACGTCCTCATCTCTAACACGGGGCAGACACTCTTCTGAGGAATAAGGGAGGTACAGCATGGGAAGCCCTTTACACAGGCTTCTCCTGCCTGGAGTCTGGGCTCCGAAGAGGTAGCTGTTCTGTGAAAAACCCATTTGAAACACTAAAAATTTTCATCCAAGTGGAAAAGGGGGATCAAAGACTAGAGTCAGTAGGATCTCAGCGATGTGAAACACACACACTGCCACCGCATAAACTGTGCACAGCAGGGTCACGCAGGGGGCGCCCCTATTGTTTCCAGTGGCTGCTTATGTAGGGTTCTGGGTAAGGCTTCCCTTTTTTAATTCTCGATTTCCCAGATTATTCATGGTAAGCCTTTAAGGTAGTCGTGGTAATACTTTAATAGTGAAAAATTATTTTAAAATAATTTGGGATGACTTTTTCCCAAAGGTGTTATATGACTTTGGGAGCATGACTTGAGGTCACTGCACGGAAATGGATGCCAGCCTGGGTTCGATCTCCACCCTGCCTTCGGAGGCTCCTACAGGTGGCGGGGGTGGCTCTTGCCTCTTCACTAAACGGCCCAGTTGGCTCCTCACTCCCCCTTTCTCCATGCTCTTCCTTGTGTGAGACAGCCAGGGCGCACAGCCTATCCCCCACTGGCTGTACGACTCTAGGCAAGTCGTGTTAGCTTCTGAGCCTCCATTTCCTCATGTTTAATGAGGTAACGGTTCATACTCCTTACCTCCCTGGGAAGAAGGCATATCTGTTTTATTTATTGGCACGTGCCTGTGCCTTGCACGGGGCCTAGTGCACGATAGTGGTCAGTGAATATTGGTTGGAAGAGTAAATGAATGAAGTCCATGAGATGTCTGGCATTTGCAGAGAGAGCGGCAATAACAAGTGACCAACAGCCACTTGCCGTTGTTTATTACGGTTCTCAGAAGGTGTGCAGATTTTGGCATAGATGGACCCCAGTTTGAATGTGTTTTCTACCCTGTATTGGGATGGAAAGTACTCCCTAGAAGGGCCATAGGCCAGCTGCTTAAGCTCTCTGAACCTCAGTCTGCTTATCCATTAAATGGGGATGGCAATTAGCAGTGACCTTGGAGGGCTGTGAAGACAGAATGAGCCAAAGGCGCAGTGCCTGCCTAGCACAGAGCCTAGCACAGAGTACGTGGCCCCAGTCACAGGCCTCTGCTCTCCTGGCTGTGTCGCTGAGTGCAGTACAATTACTAGGCAAGCTTGTGGCCCCTGGACGGCTCGAACGAGTCTGCTAGTTGGATCCGGCTGCCAGTGAAAAATGCTGCCTTTGGAGTGAGGCTCACAGCTGCAGCTCCAAGTTAGAAGAAACAGCGTTTCAGCTAGAGAGTGTCTCTCCTGGTCTTAATGAAAAGAGAGGAACTGGGTGGGGACGCCTGGAAGAGTGCTTGGTGGGGAAGCCGCTGGAGCTGGGATTCGAAATCAGAGTCAAGACAGCTCCTTCGGGGTCTGACGCCCGGCTCAGCCACATTTAAGACCCTCCCCTAGGAGGGCGCCGCCAGCCCTGCAGTCCTGGGCAGCTCTTGCTTTCGGACTTAGCGACCCGTAGTTCCATTGTCCTGAGTGGTAGCTCCGCGGTGGGGTCTCCCCGGGCAAAGCCAGTCTAAGTGGGAAAGGAAACCGGTCCGCAGCGACGGGCGCGCGGCAGACTCGCTTCCCGCTTTCGGCTCCGGGGGTCTGCGGGCAGGACTGCTGGGTGCGGGCGCCCTTGCGCAGGGCAGAGCGCCACCGCCCGTGGGCCCTGGTCCCTCGGCGCTTTCTAATCACGCGCCCCTCAGTGGCAGGCACCCACAGGAGACTGCTCTCCGCCTTCCCTAAAAGTCTCTCTCAAAGCGCCAAGTACGGAAGAAAATGCCCCCAAACGCTTACAGCGGGCATTCTTTTTCTTATTTCTACATTCCTGTGTTTTCCAAATTATTTGTACACTGACCATATGTTACATTGTTTCATTTTCCTAAATAAGCAACTCTTATTGTCCCGGGTAGAAAAGTAATGTTTACTTCAAACAAACAAAAAGACAAATAGGAGAAAACACACTTGGCATCCAACTCCCACACTAAAAAACGACCGCTGTTGTGTTTCCTTGAAAATCTTTTTCTCCTTAGATGACACGTATAGAAACAAGGTTGCTCGTTTTCCAGTAACTTGCTCTCTCCCCTTCCCCCGCTAACGTGATGTCGGCCCCTCCTGGGCTCTTCTGAGCCCCGCCGAGTGCGCCCGGGGTCTCACCCCTTCTCTGCGCTCCCAAGTCTGCACATTCCTGTGAGTCTCTACTTAAGAGGCCGGCAGATGATGGAACCTCGCAGGACCGTTGTCGTCAGGAGAGAGGGAGGGAGAGAGAGAGAAGACCCCCGAAAGTAAGAAAAAAGGAATGAAAGACCAGAAGAAAGAAAAAGGTGGTTAAGAAGAATGGAAGAAAGGAAGGAAAAAGGAAAGGAAAGGAGGGCAGCAGTGATGAAAGACCAAAGTGCGGGCAGAGCTCGGAGCTCCCACCAAGCCCTCCTCCGAGTCGGAGGCCTACTTACCCGACCTGAGCAGCACTGCCCGGTAGAGTCCCGTGGCCTCCGCGGGCCCCCGTGCCCGCTCGCCCAGCCTCTGCGCCATCCTTCCGCGCCCCTGACTGTGGAGCGGGCGCTGCGAGCGGGGAGCGCACGGTGGAGCGCAGTCCGCGGCCCGAGAGTCTCCGCGGCCTTGAGGCTGCTCCGAGGCCAAAACCCCGCGACGGATCGGGTTACCTCTGGGATCTGGAGGCCGGGCGTGGAGGCGCCGCAGGGGGAGGGACAGGGGGTGAGGGCAGGGGTAGGTATGCCCGCCCAGGCAGCAGGCAGGGTGCAGGTAAGCGCCTGGTGTGGGGACTCCTGGCCCCGCGGTTCCAGGTCCAAGGCTAGAACCGGGTGCCTTGAGTTCCAGCTTTGGTCTCCTACCTACTCCTCTACCCCTGGCCGCTGGCCTGGTTGAATCCCACAAGCAGGTGTGGGGGCCCGAAGTGCCATCCTTGGCATCGGGTCCCAGCACCACCAATCAACAGCTGTGTGACCCTAGGATCCAATTACCTGACCCCACAGAGTCTCAGTTTTCTCATCTGTAAAATAGGTTCTTATCTCACAGGGCTGTAAGAGTAACTGATAAATCTTAGAACAGTGGCTGGCACAGAATGAACACTGTATACCGGTGTTTTTCAAAGAGGGTTCCAAGGCATCCTGGGGGTGGGTGGCAGTGAAAGCAGGGGACCTCACTGAGGGAAGAAGGTTGGGTGGGAAGCCTGTGGACGCCACAAGACTGGTTTCTCTGGCTGTGTGGAATCTCCTTAACAGTAGAGATGGGGGGGGGGCGACCAAAAGGGTCTGAAGGTGGTGGGGCTGAGTCAACCGGGTGGACTTGGAAGACATGAGAAACCGACGATTTTGGTTATCTACTGTATGTCTAGTCTGTGTTAAGTCTCCTCTAAAACAAACAAAACACACTAATGTTTACTGTGTGCTTTATGTTCTATTTTATCTCATCTTCACAGCCCCGTGAATTAGTGTCTCTTAGTCTTCCAGTTTTACAGATAAGCAAATTGAGGCTCACAGAGGTTAAACGATTTGAGATCACACTGTGGAGCTGGGATACAAATCAGACGGTCTGACTTCAGACATGGACTCTGTGTCCTTGTCTGTTGACTCTTGTCTCTTTGGGACTTATCTCACTGACTCTTCACAGAAGTGCTGAAGGCTGGGTATTATCTCCAGTTTAGAGACAAAATAATTCAAACTCGAGGAGGTAAAGTGACTTGGCTCATGCCCACACAGCTAGCTGGAGGAGCCAAGACCCAACCCAGTCTTCACTCACGAAAGCAGTGTCCCTGGAATCTACGTTGCCCCGCCCCTCCCCCGGGAGCTGTCCAGGGTCCCCCATGGCATCTGTTAAGGCAGTATCTGTGTGGGCCAGGGAATCTTGAGTTGGCTGTTGGGACCTCGGCCACAGAGTATCACCTCCGTCTGCCCCTGTGTCCTCTCCAGCGTGGTGTCTCCTAAGGCCAGCCAAGTCCTCTCTGGCTGGCCCTTGGCCACTGCTCAGTCCCAGCTTCTGCTTTGATTCAGAGGTCCTTGTATTTCTCTGATCCTCAGTTACCACCCAAGGTCCCAAGGACCCAAGTGACACACTTTGATCTTCAGGGACCTCACTGATTGGCCAGACTGATCATATCTCTCATCAACAACCAGCCACCAGGAGCGCCAGGAGCAACACCAGACATTTGGCATTCACTCTCCCCTATCTATCCTTCAGGGGATTCATCTCATTTAGTCCACTCTTCGATCACGTATGGTTATAAGCCCCTTTTAGAAGTGAGTAAAATAAGGCTCAAGTGAGTTGCTCAAGTTAGCTGTGGAGCTGGAATTTGAACCCAGACGCACTGAAGCTCTTGCTGCAGGTAGAAAACCAAGCTGGCTACTGAACAGGGTGGGAGATCAGGAACACTGTGACTAGGAATGTGCATTTGCAGAGCATTCCAGAAGGACTGACTCAGGGTGCACCTCCTGAGGACTTCTAGGTGGGTCCGACTTACCTGAACCATTTAGTCTCTGCTCCTCGTCTTCACTATGAAATATGGCCTGAGGTGAGTATTCTTTCTGTGAACAGAAAGAAAGTGGGTGGAAGTCAGGCCCTCTGTTCCTCGGTAGGGGAGGAGCGAGTAGGTGTCCATCCTGTCTGAGGCTTTAGACTACGGAAGGGATCGGTCAGGTCAAGTCCTCTCCAGAGAAACAAACTACTGTCATTGGCGTGTGTGTACGTGTGGGGTGCCTCTTGTGAGATTCACACATTTTAAAAAATAGCTTATTTTTTAGAACAGTTGATATTTGCAGAAAAATTGAGAACATAGTACAGAGAGCTTCTTAAACCTTGCACCCAACTTCTCTATTATTAATATTTTACATGTCTGTAGGGCGGCTCCTTTGTTATAATTAATGAACTAATTTTGATATACTATTATCAATGAAGTCAGGTCTCCCTGGGATCCTCTGGGCTCTGACAGTTCCTCAGACTCTTTAGTTTTGATGACCTTGACGATTTTGAAGACTACTGAGATTCATGTCTTTTTTTTAATGTTGGGGTCTTATCCACACCGTTTCTTCTTCTTGGTCTGCCTTCTTCCCACCTCCTTCACAAACTTCCCTCAAGGGACAATTCAGAAGGCTTCAGGGTTTGGGTCTGAGGGTCAGTTCTTAGACATCTTCTTTTCTCCCTCTACATTACTTTAAAAATAATTCTAAGCCAGTGGTGCTCAAATGTGTATTTCCAACCCAGACTTTCACTTGGAGCTTAAATGTTGTGCAACGGGCCACTTGACATCCCCACTCAAAAGTCTAATTGGCCAAACTCACAGTGGCCCAAACAGAACCCTGGGCCACTCCTGCCCCTAACCTGTTCCTCCCCTGTACCTCCATCTGGCCCCTGGCCCCTGGCCCTGCCAAACAGACAGGAACTGGGGGTTTGCTGTGCCCTCTCTTCCTGAAACTGCGTAATCCTCCGGTCACCGAGACATGGTAGGATTGCCTCTTGGTATCGCTTCAATCCATCTTCCTCTCTGACGCCTCCACCTGAGCCCCTACTCCTGCTGGCCTGGAGGCCTGCAGGAGCTTGTTCTTCTTCCAGCCATGGTCCACACAGACTCCAGGGCAGGCTTTCCAGATGTAACGCAGACTCTGATCCTGCCTTACTAAAAACCTGTGGGTGCCTTCCCTTTGCACTTGCAGTCAGTCTCACATGCCTTGCCTGGGCCTTCAAAACCTCTGCAACTTGCACCCTCCCTGCCAACCTCTCAAATCTCATCTGTTTGTTCCTTCAAATATTCAAGGGCTTGGGATACCTCCGTGAAGAAAACAAAGGTCCTTGATCTTGTGGAGCTGACATTCTAGTAGGGTAGATGGACAATAATGAATAAGTGAAGGAGATAGTAGGTTAGAAGGTGAGAGAGACTGTGGAGCAAAGGAAAATAAGGGTTAGTAGTGGGTATGGGTAGTATGTGGCAGTAAATGGCTGCTCAGAGGGTACCACTGGGAAGGGGAGATATAAGCACACACCTTGAAGGAGCTGGGGTGTTAGCTAAATATCGATTAACTTGGGGAAGAGTGTCACAGACAGAGGGAACAGCCAGAGTGAGGGGCCTGAGGTTGGAGTGTGCCAGAATGTTCGGGGAACAGCAGGGGCGCCAAGGGGACTGGTGTGGAGGGGACACAGGGGCAGTCATGTGAGGGAAGGTCAGAGAGGAAATGGGGGCTCCTCTCCCTCATCTCCCATACTCTAGTCACTAGAACTACCGGATTCCCTGGAAGCCATGCTGTCCCTCACGTCCTGCTTATGCCCAAGCTGTTTCCTCTACCCAGGAAGCACTCTCCAGCTCTGCCTGGCTACTCCTTCCTGTCCTGTAGTCTAGGCTGAAATAGCACTTTCCCAGGGTGGTCCCCTTGATCATGTGCTCCCACAGCACCCCAGACTTCCCTTATGTTAATATTCACCATGAGTTATGATTGTTTGAGCCCCTTCTGCTCCACTAGACTCTACTTGCCTGTCCATAGCTGTCTGTCCAGGGCCTAGACCAGAGCTGGGCTTGGATTGGATGCACAGTAACAATTTACTGGAAGAATGAATGAAGTGAGTGAATGAATGAATGAATGCACCCACACTGGAGCTCTGGGCTAATTCCACAGAGAGTAAGAATGGAGGGAGGGCTCCTGCTGCTTCCCCAGGGATAATTCAGGGTGGACGGAAGGGCCTGGGGTCTTGGCATTTCCCTGGGGTGTTCCTGTTTGAGCCCTGCCACCAAAGAGGCCGTAGGAGAAGAAAAGGGAGGGTGTTTGGGATTTGGCCAAGCCGCTTTTATGGTTTTTAACAAAGGGATTGAGAGGACCAGTAACCTCATCTGTGAAAGAAAATTCCAGGACATAGAAAAAAGAGGGCTGTTTCAGAGGGCTCTAAGGGGCTCCAAGCTGCTTCTTCAATGTCCCCATGCAGACCAGGGAAGTGGGGCTGGGTCCCAAGGTCAGCATTAGCATTACAAAGCCAGAGTTGCATAAGGAGTGGCTTCCGGAGCTAGAGTTCAAAGAATTGTCCCTTGCATTCCCGGACCCGGACCGGCCTTGCATGAAAGAATTGTTGGGAAATCAGGCCAACCTATGTCCAGTAAAACCTCAGGACCAAGGCAGAGGCTGCTCGCCCTTTAAGGACTGGAGTTTGGTGAGGCAGAAAAATGCTCACTGGCATGTCACCCCTTGTGAAGGCAAAGCTCATTTGAAAAGCCACGTGGACCTTCGCTGACGTATTGCAGGTAATTGATAGTCTTTTCTAAAGACTGTGCTGGGAAATACAGCCAGTCCTCAGTTGTTCGCAGCATTAGGGACTGGAAGGTGCCGGCTTAGTTATAACTGTGGTTAGTGAGAGCTGGCACGCAAGTACACCACAGGTGGTACCATTGTAAATGGCGTAATATACCTGACTATGGCCGAACACAACGCAGTGTCAGCCGGAGCCAAAGACATTCGTATTTCTCCTGTCCTTTCTATGGACACCACCTGCTTTTTTTTTAATGTCCCAATTGCTGAGAAAATTTTCTTGGATTGGCCCTTGGTGACCTCCCATGGGTCTAACCCCAAGGTCTCCTCTTCACACATCTTCCTGGGTCTTCCCCACAAGATGCATGCACAGAGTAACACTTAGGGACCTTGCTTCGTTTATTTGTAAAGGTTTTGCACCTGGAAAAACAGCACACAGGCATGAAGTGCACTCATCTCAGTGCACGGCTCTCTGAAGTTGACACAGGTGTTCGCCTGCGCGACCACCTCCGAGATGAACGTATAAAACATTCCCGTCCCCAGAAGTTTCCCTCGTGCTCCGTCTCAGCCAATGCCCACTTTCTCCCTAGAGGAAGCAGTATTCTGACTCTTACTGTCGTAGATTTGTCTCTTGTTCTAGGATTGTATATAAATGGAATCATAATTTTTACTCTTTGGGGTTTGGCCTCCTTCACTCAACAGTATGTTCGAGATTCATCAGTGTCGTTCAGATCATCCTCTTGACGCTGTGCGTCCTCCAGTGGACGGACGTTTGGATGGTTTCCAGCTTAGGCTGTGACTAGTGAAACTGCTGTTAACCTTCCTACGAATTTTTGGGTAAACACTGTGTGGTTTCTGTTGGGCGAGTCCTCAGCTGTGGGTCAGCTGCAGCAGATACTCTCACAGTGGTTGTATCAGTTTATGTGTTGTGTTTGACATCTTCACAACATAGATTTTTTTGGACGCATTGAAGTCACTTCTGTGTACAATGCTTTGGACGGGTGGTGGAGATGCAGGAGGTATTAGCAAAATCACAGCTTAGATGAACATAGATGGGCCTCAATTCTGACTTTGGAAGGGTTGAGGTAGGATCTTAGAGTATTTGTCCTTGTAACTTGGAGTGAATCAAAGGGAAGTGTGTCTCTGGGTGTCTTGTTTTTACCCCCCACCCCACTGCACTGTAAACACTGGGCAAATAGGCCCTGTGACACATTCAGAGATTTCTTTACGTATAGCACAGTTCTCAGCATGTAGGCACTCGGTAAAGGGAAACCAGCCTACTTGCGGCAAACGTTTATTGAGCACATCCTATGGCTGGGCACTGTGATGAGACTGTACCCATATGGTCTCACTTAAGCTTCATAATAGTCCTTTGAGTTAGGGAAGAGGGGTTTCCTGTTTTACAGGCAAGAAAGGGAGCCGAGGCCTTGGACAGGTCAAGATACACAGCTCACCAGCAGCAGCATTGCAGTCAGACTGGAGACAGTCGACTCCGTGCCTGTGGTCTTAGCCACTTTCACAGCTGGGGTGTGGGTATGTGCAGCGCAGGTGTGGGTGTGGAATAGCGAGAGACTGCACCCCCTTTCACAGAAAAGGAAACTGAGGCTCAGAGAGGTTAAGGAACTCTTATGTATGGGCCAGCCTCCCCATTGAGCTAATTCTTAAATGTAGTATGTTTCTTCGTGCGGACCCTTGGCCGCTGCCCACCTCTCCCTGTTCCCCGTTCCTAAGCCACAGGCTTCTCCTTGGGCTCTGCCTCAGCTCCTGATTCTTGTAAAGCCACCGTGTTGTGTGAGGTGACACCTGCTGCCGCCCTTTCTTTCATCTCCAGGGGCAGAAAGGTTCAAACCTTGAAATCCTTCCTTTAAAGTATGGGCCACTCTGGAGAGGCACCAAACTGGGACATGTTCCTTTCCATGGGTCCACGCACCCCACACCGCCGCTGCGTTCCGGGCGAGGCGCGGTGAGGAGGGCGCTGCCTTTCTGATCCTGGCCTCAGGGCCCTCTCACTGCCCATTCATTCCAGGCCTCACAGGCCTCAGAGGCCCAGAACCCCGCCTCCCGGGACCCACACCAAGGCTCTGGGTGAGGAGCCACCCCAGCCCCGGCAACAGAGGGGCGCCTTGCTCTCCTCGCCTGGACTTGGTGGGTGGGCTGTTTAATTCTCCTTGAAAGCTTACAAAATAGTTCACACAAGTAATATACAGCATTCGGCAGAAGTAACGCCTGCTTCAGTGTGCTTGGTAGGGTAATAATATGGGTATAATAATGTATAGTTTTATTTTTTTAAGATTTTATTT